GAAAGGCTTAATCTGCTCTGTCCAGTTCGAGCACTGGACACTTACGCACACAGAGCTGCCCCATGGCGTAAGGCAGATCAGCTGTTTGTTTGTTTTTGTCCGCCAAAGAAAGGATCTCCGGCGACCAAGTAGACCATGAGTAGGTGGGTGGTCGAGGCCATCTCACTAGCTTACGAGTCTCCTATGGGGGTCAGAGCGCACTCGACCAGGAGTATGGCAGCCTCCAAGGCTTTCAACTTGGGTGTGGCCTTGCAGGACATTTGTGCTGCGGCAGGCTGGTCCTCTATGCACACTTTTGTCCGCTTTTACAACCTAGACCTGGCATCTACCCCATGTTCCCAAGTTCTCTCTTTGTGATGTGCTCATAAGATACACACACAGGCAGGGACTTGGTAGTATGGCGCAGTGGGCAGTGTGTATCCAAAGCGATCTCGACGCAGCTCGAGTTCCCGAAGGGGAACGTCTCTAGGTTACGTATGTAACCATGGTTCCATGGTTCAACGAGACGCTGCATCTCTTTGCCACACTCCTGGCATTCCTGCAGGCGCTACTTCATCGAAGCTGGTTTGCGCTCTGCCGGATGCGCTTTCTGGGGCTTACATCACCCCGCCCGTGACGTCTCGCTACTCCGTTGGGCTGATTTGACACGTGCTTCAGAACGCGGTCACGCAGGGGCGTTCCCAAAGCGACCTCGACACAGCGTCTCGTTCCCTCGGGGAACCATGGTTACATACGTAACCTAGAGACGTTATTCAATCCCTGAACATAGTCTGAAAGATACGTCCTTTAAGTAAAGTAATTTGTGGCCTTGGCGGTCTCTATCTATTGACATAGATTAGCATTAGCACCAGAGGGCTGTCATTCAGTTTAACAGGCAATTGATGTCTTCTATTCTGACTGAACAAAGACAAGGTCTCAGGTCTCTGCGGTTATTACTCAGACCCCAGACCTTAGCTTTGGCTATTTTAAGACCTCAGCTCTCTAATCTCTGGTACTAGCAGCCAGTGGCGGCTCGTCGGGGGAGGAAGGGGAGGCACAGCTTCCCCAAAATTTTGAGATGAAAACGGGAGGACGACGATTTAAAGTTAATAAAATTCACAATTCATTTCAGTTCATGTCTCAGAATGTGTATTTTTTGTTTGTAATTTCACAGCTGTAATACCATAACATGTTAATGAAGTTGG